CTTATTTCTGCTCTGATTCCCAGTAGGGAGCTCTTGGGAAGGCCATTCAGGGCGGTGCTGCAGGAGGGATGGTGCTGCACAGACAGGGGAGCTGACTGGGGTCAGGGGGTCTTTGGGAGCCCTCCTGTCACTCTGCCCCACTGCCTGCCAGCTGGGTCCTGGGGGAGGGGACCAGGGCCAGCCTGCCTCTTGCTCACTCCTGTGCAAGAAGCCGGACTCGCCAGGCTGGCGGCTCACAGAAACCCTGGGAGCCTGTACACCTCACCCAGCTGGTTCCCAGCCCCAGACTGTGCCCAGCGCTGGCGAGGATGGGTATTACCCACGCATTTAACCCCCCGGATCTCCTGGTACAAAAGCACTGGTGGGCCTGTGTTTCTATCATCAACCGCATTTGACAGACGAGGAAACTGAGGCTCAGAGAAGAGAAGCGGCTGGCTCAAAGCTACAGAGTCCCCCCCGCCCCCTGGCTGGGGTACAGAGGGTGTTCCCCTCCAGGGAATAAGACCCCAGGGCCTCTGGTGGCAGAGTCAGGGTCCGTTGATGGAAAAGCATGAGGGATTATTCTTAATGAAGCCAGACCCTTTATTAAGACCATCACCCACCTCTGAGCCCCACTCAGGGGTCTTGGCCCAGCTCCACCTCAAACAGGGGCCCTTCGGGGCCCAGCCAATGCCTCAAGCCATCCACCGTGGCTGGGCACCCCTGGGCCTCCGAATGGCTCCTGGTCCAGGCTCGGGCAACCTGAGGCCTCTGCACAGGCTCCTCCAGGCCTGGGCTGCAAGGGGCACACTGTGCCAGGGGTCACCCACCCACCAGCCCCATGGGGAAGGTGCCAACACCCAGCTCCACCCAAGAAGAGATTCTACCCATGGGCAGAGTTGGTAAGCAGGGAAGGCTGCCCAGAGGCGGTGACCCTGAGCTGGGTCTTAGAGGGAGGAGGCGTAAGCAGCCAGGCGGGGGCACTTTGGGGAGAACAAGGTACAGGGAGTAGAGGGGGCAGCTCTGCGCCAGGTGCCTGCCGGGCCTGGGGCCACACAACACACACACTGCCACATCCCTGTCCCCGGGAAGGGCACCCCTGCGGGAGAACAAGGTACAGGGAGTAGAGGGGGCAGCTCTGTTCCAGGTGCCCGCCAGGCCTGGGGCCACATGACACACACACTGCCACATCCCTGTCCCTGGGAAGGGCACCCCTGCTCCTCTGCAGCAGGCATGGCAGCATGCCCCTGCTCCTCCCACCACCACCACC